ACTGTTGTTGTTTTTTGGTTTGTTTGCGTTTTTTGCCTTTTTAATTTAAAACACCCTCAAACTAATTAGTAAACTCTCTCTACTTCTTCCTTTCCCGGTGGGCGCAGCAAGTGATGGAGGAGCCACAAAATGGGAATGACTAGTCCAAAACGACCTCCCTTTGAGCTCCCAAGTGAGGACACTAAAACCCAGAACCTCAGGCCCGTCTGGAGGGCAGGGTCTGTGCTGGAGCCAAGCAAGTCACTCTGTGCCAGCTGGTTCCTCTGCACACCTCCATCTTCTCTGGGCTAAAGGCCCTGAGAACCTCAGCTTCTCGCCTCCTACACAGGGTTAAGCCAGAGCCCTAGGCACGTCCTGGCCTGCTTCCCCACTTCCAACAAGGAGTGTCATCAGTCTCATGGCAGCAGTAGTGACATTCCCCCAAAGCCCTACTCTGAGCAGAAGCTCCTGGCAATGGCAGCACCTATGAGCAAAGGAACTTCCAAACAGTGCGTGCTGGAGAGGGACCAGAGGGGTTGAGACCAACTGGGACAATACACATCTCATCATTAACGGCTCCTTCACGTCCAGAGGCGGCCCTTGGGGATCACTATGCCTCATATCTTTCCCAAACCCTGGCCTATGGGAAATGGAGGGCAGACAGAGAATGTCTTTTTTCTTAGAACCTTGGGGGAATGAGAGTGATGTCCTGTATTGGGGCCAGAGTCACTGAAAGCAGAATAGGATCTGACCCGTAGGCCCTGGGTCAGTCTCGTGCTCTTCTTGGTTTCCTGGTCAGCCATGCCATGGAAGAACACATTGTTCTTTGCCGTCTACTCCAGATTTCCAAGGGTGACCTGGCTGGTGTCTGTTCACACATTTCATAGTCTAAACTAGTCACAGGTGCTGGAAGCAATGCCTGCCTGAGGCATGGAACATGCCAACCAAGAAGGACCTGTAGGCTTCCACTGTGTGTCCAGTCAGGGATGAGAACAGCTGGGCAAGAACCCAGCCGACGTGTGGCGATGGACTCACGTGCATGAGGGAGACTACTGCTCCCCAGGCTGAGCCTGAGGCTCTGATTCAAGGCAACAGTGAACAGCAGCTGGTCCTTAACACCACCTCCTTCAGACACGGCCAGGGCCAGAGCAAGAGACTTCTGGGAGCCGGCCTGAGCGGGAGTGGAAGAATGGAGGCTACAAGTCCTGACCTGACAAGCCAGATCTGGGTCAGTGCAAAGGAAAACAGTCCCACCTCAGGGCTCAAAAGCTCACCAGACTGGACACACTGAAGTCACTTGGCTGGTTCTGGTTCTAAGGAGCCCTATAGCCTCATCTCTGGGTTGGGGCTCGGGTACTAAGCTACAAGCACGATTCAGCAAAGGAGAGATGTGAAAACCAGCACTCCTGACGGTGGTAGTTGCACACACTGAAAGGGCTGTGAGGGTACAACTGGATTTCAGCCTAAACACCCATGAGTAGGCGGCGCTGAACCCATCAGTGATCGGCTACCCATAGCAATAGTCAATCCCTAACTCAAGCTAGAGGAGAGAGCATCACCTTTGGGTTACTGCACTTTACCCTGAAGATAGTATTCCAGGTTGAATAAACCCTTGGATCGTGATCAAGCAGAGAAACGCCTCCTCTCTATAAAGTCTTATAAAAGTAGGGTACTACGTGGGAGATGCAGGAGGAGGAATTGGGGTGGAGAAGGTCTCCCAGGGTGGAGATGCTTTTGGTGGGGTACATGGGGGTAAGGACGGAGTCTGTGTGGACCCAGGAAGGAGTACCCTGATGGCGCTAATGTGAAACGTTAACACAGGCAATAGCCGAAAGCATACGGCAAAAGGGAGTACAGCGCCGCGCTGTGTGAGGCCTGCACAGCTCAGGACAGTGGGCTCACCTCTGCCCATGGAGGGCACAGTGGTGGGAGGGGGTTCGCTGTTCCGCCGCCGATCACCCAGGCAGCGCTCCAGCTCCCTGAGCTTTTTCTCCTCTTGTAGTGCAGCATGTTTCCGCTGCCTGCGCACCTGTCTGCTGAGGTTCTCCTCTGCACACAACCTGTGAGCCGCTTCCGTGATCTGAAGCTGCAGAGCGAACTGGCGCTCCAGGCTGCTCAGGGGGTCCTGAGGGAGGGATTGGGAGTGAGGGCCAAGAAGAGTCCTTGGCGCCGGGGGAACAGAAGACTCCAGGCAGCCTTGACCAGGTGGTGAGCAGGCAGCAGTGTCCGGGGACACACAACAAAGGGTGGAGCAGTGGGAGGGGCTCAAAGCCAACTTGTCATTATGAAAAGTCAGCATGAGAGTCCCACCCCAGCTACCTGCTGTGCAGGGCTGGGAGAGGACTTAAGTGGGACACTTTCCTCCCTGATCCCAAAGAACCAAGCACATCAACCCATGGGAATTTCTCTGAGGTAAAGGCTGCCTAGAGCCAGAGCTACCCCACCTCCTTCCACCTAGGCTGAAAAAGTACAGGCCCTCATGCTACACCAACCTCCCTGGCCACCGCTTCTTTGAGGTGGTTATTAGTATTCTTAATCCTCTGCCCACTAGGCCAAGCCCAGTGTTTTCCCTTGAGCTCCCAGCTCTCCAGCTGCTGAGGTGGCAGGCTTACTCAGAGCCATCTGGGCTACCCATGAGGAGAAGCCCTGGATTAACACAGTCAGCACCACATTGGATGGTAGAGATTGCCAGGGCACTGGACTGCTTCCCTAGTTTGTCTCTGGGAATGAGACACAGTGACTATCACCTCTGACACTCCTCACCTCTCTGTGCAGGGCCCACTCATCCAGCTTGTATGCTGCTCCAATCCTGCGCCGGACCTTGGGTGCCTTCTCACCTGGCTTAAGGGGATACTCTGCAGGCAAAGTACCAGTCAGCTCCTGGGGGGAGGGGAGGCAGCGTCAAGGCAGGGCCCCCTCCACTTGCTCAACCCTTATCCAACCATTTAAACTTGCAGTCCTATTCTACACTGCATGGCCCTTTGGAACCAATGGGCAACTTGTGCTCTTGCCCACCTCATCCCACCATGCCACAGTTGTCTTCTTATTCCCATTCTTGAAGCGTGCTCTCTGCTCTTTCCCTTTTGCCTTCCCATTCCCTCTGGTCACTTCCTCCCAAGGGCTACCCTGACCCAAGGTATAATTATCAAATGCGCTTGCAGCTCCTTGGCCCCTCTCAGTCCCTCATCTCTTCCTTTTCGGTACTTGGACCCCTGCCAGGTCTAATTTCCCTCTACCCAGTGTCCATGTCAAACCCACATAAGGGAGACTCTAGTTCTAGACCTCAATCTGATTTCCAATCCCCTCAAAAATGTAGCTTTCCCCTTGGCCTCAATATCCCAAAACATAGTTCCTCAGATAAACCCTAAGTTTGTCGGGGCAGGAGCTCCAGGGGCCTCACCGCCTCCCTTAGGCAGAGCCTACGCAGTTCCTCCAAGCAGGCTTCCAGCTTCGCTTCCAGGGCCCTCTGCTGCTTGCGCACAGCATTGGTCAGCTCCTTCATTGGTGAAACAGGGCTGTCCGGGCCTGCAGGAAGACAAGGGGCACTTGCTCATGAACACTGAAGCAAGGCATCCCTAGGATACTGTTAATGACCTCTAGGAGTGTACACACGCCTACAGTCTCATGCTTGCCCACAAATTACAGGCTAGCTGTTATGGTCTGTGTCACAAACACAAAACATCATGTCTCCTGGCTGCCCAAAGGTTGGTAACATTATAGTGCAAAGAGAGAGCTGTCCGTCCTACCAGGGGACCTGTCTGGGGGAGGGACTCATGGTCAGAACTGTGTCTTCCCCTCTCCTATCTTTTTCCTCTCTCAAAGCCAGGCCAGACTAGACCCACAGGCTAATAGAGAGACAGGACATTAACACACTAGCTAGATAAGAGTTTTCAACTTCTTAGTAATTGCTGCAGCTCAAGTTGGACACAGCAGATCTCCACTCCAGATAGGGCAGAAACGCCTGGCTAGTGCCTTCCAGCAAGGAAAACTGCAGTTCTTTGAGGTGCCAGACCTTCCAGTGCCCCCACTTCCCCAACAGAACCCTCTCTCTCCACCCTCTCCTTCTCCAGCCCTTTGGGAATTTTAGCTTCATTAGCCCAGGGCCTAGGGACTCAGTCTGGAGTCAGGGACCAGCACAGGGGAATTTCCTAGATCACTCACCAGACTGAAGGATGATGCCACTGTCGGTGTCACTGACCTCATCCTTACTCTCCATGATGAATTTCTGGGGGGAGGGGGCACAGAGGAAGAAGGGGCTGCTCCAGTCCCAGCCTGGGCCAGGATGTGTAGGATGCCTGGAGTTTTCCCAGCTTTGAAGAGAAAATAACAACAAAAACACTCTGAAGCCTCCTGTGGTTTGATGCCTGAGGGTGGGGGAATGGAAGTAAGGATTGTGTTTCTGGATCATCTGGGGCGAGAGGTTTTCTGAGGGTACAGCCTGGCTCCCCCTCCCCCCAACTAGGTCTCCATCACAAAGTTCTCTAGGTCTGAAAGGGTTGACTGAACTGGTGGCTGAACAAGAACAAGAAAAAGAATAAGGAGAAGATGAAAAGGCGGGAAGATGGGACACAATGGCAAAGGAAGGAGATGACAAGATGTCTTCATGAGATACGTATAGCCATCCTCACCTTGAGAGCACAGGAGGCGTGAGGCATGGCCTACTGTCCCACTGGCTAAGGGCACTGCAAGAAATGGCTGGACAGTGAGCACAAAGCCAAGCCTGGTCTGGGACCCAAGGACCAGGGGACCTTGCTGTCTGGACCTGGTCCTTCACTTGAAGGTCAAGGAAGCAACTCCATGACAGAGAGTTGTCCTGAATCCCAAGCCACCAGTATACCTAGGAGACTTCCTGAGGAGGAGTTAACCTGCAGACTATATACATCACAGCTAGGAGGGAAGGGTCTATTGGGTTGCTCTATACTCCACAGCTAGGAGGAGAGAGGGGTCTTTGAGTTGCTGGAAGCTGATAGAAGCAACAGCAGACTAGAAGTTACCAAAGATAGAAAGGAAAACACCAGCTTCTCTGCCTCCCTATGACTGCATGGCACTTTGGTGGTGTAGGTACAGCCCAGCACACCACCCACCCAAACACCTGTGACCACCCCTTATCTCTTTCTCAAACCCACATCCTCAGTGGGATCCCAGCTGGCCAGGGCTGGCAGCTGTTGGCTAGGGCAGGGGTGGGGAGGGGTGGGTGGAGCCCAGGCGGAGGTCTGGAAGCAGAGGCCACCAGCCACCTCCTCACTGAGTCAGCCCATTGAGCAAGAGTCCAAAAGTCCTTCAGAGTTTCTGTCTGGAACTTATCCTGCTGCCTCCACAGAGCACAAGGGCTGCAGGGGTGTGGTGCAGAGAGGAGGGGAGGGGAGACTGCATCCCTGCCGAGCAGAATGGGGTGCTACTACTGTCAGCTAAGCTCCCCATGCCAGCTGACTGAGCCCGAAAGAGCAGGGACTAAGCAGAGCTGTAATAGGCTGTGTAAACACAGCTTATCGATGTACCACGGACAACAATGGTTAAAACCAAGGCCCGGAAATCGATATGTACTTTGCACCCTGGAATTTCAATCTTCCAAGCAAATCTGGAGAATGAAGGCAAGAATAAAAGGAACAAAACTTGATGTGGTACCTTTATTAACACATGGGAAGGACTGGCCTTTCAGGAAGCTAGGGTGATTGTTAGTTTATACTATCCATCGGTCTCAGATCCTTACTCTTTCTAGCCCGGAGAAGCCGGTAGCTGGGCCTTCCTCCCACCTTGGGGCATACCCCCACCCTCCCCAGAAGAGGGCAAGCTCATCTTCATCTAGGAAGCAGGACCAAGACTAGCAGGGCTGGCAGCTGGCACCTAGAGCTTTTTGCTTTTGGACAGAGGGAGGGGATAAGTGGGAGGGAAAGCCATCAATTAGTCACACTTGCTAATTAATTATTAACCACTAAGAAGGTGCATTGAAAGGTTGAAACAACCCAAGCCCTGCCTCTCAGGTGGACTCAGGCTGTTACAGACAAGAGGGGTGGTCACTGGAAGACTAAGGGATTCCTTAGCATGTCTTCTCCAGCTTCTCTCTCCTCAAGGCTCTGGTATTTATGGTGAACCCCATAGGATTCAGGGTCAGCTCTGGGCCCACTTGTTGCTCCAAGGAGGGCAAAGTGCACAGGTCCAGAGACCTGAAGTCAGCGCTCAGTTGTGCAGCTTCCTGAGACAGCTCCTAAGACCCACTTTTCCTCACAAGGACGATGAAAATCAGACAGGCCTAAGGCCCTTCCCAGCCCCTATTTCTAAATAGGACCTTCTGGACAATACCAGCCTGAGAATGATGCCCATACGGACACAGGCTCTCCAGTGTGAGGAATCTTCCCCAAAATTCATAGGAGCAGCCCAGCCCAACCCAGGAGAGTTGGGGCCTAGGCATGGAAGGTCTTGCTTTAGATAAAGGCAGTTCAGGTAACAATCCCACCCCCAACTCAGGAGTCTTTCTGCCCCACTGACCCTCCCAGCCAGCCCAGAAGCAGCCCACCTGCTCAAAGCCATCCCAGACAAAGCCAGAGGGAGAAAGACAGTCTTGGAAGGCGGGAGGGAAACTCCAGCATACTTTCTCTCAGGGAGGCCACTGGGGATCCTCGGCATCACAAATGTGTCCCCAAAGCCAGGTCCTCTCTGTCCCAGCTCATCTCTGTTGGAAATTCAGGCCTCCTCACAGAGACAGGGTCCCCGTTTCCAAATCCACTAGCAGTCCCCTATCACCCCTTAGCCCAGATATGATCTTAGGGGGATGTAGGGGGATGATAGATAGCCATGTCTGCCCAGGGCTCCTTCCATTTCCTGGTCTGCATACAGTTCAAACACACACAGACTGGCCTCACCCCCCCCACACACACACACCCCATTCTCACCTGCTCCAGAGCTCAATCCAGATCAGGGAAGACTCCTGTTCCCAGATCAGGGGTTTAGGGTGCCTCTCATGCCACCTCTGGGTCTCCCAGGTTACAAACAGGCCACCTAGTGCTCTTGCTTCCAGCAAGCTCTCCACACGCTGATGGCCGCCCCCTAGCTCTCCCTCTCATCAGGTCCCGCCTGCCTGCTGTCCCTCCCAGGCTGCCGGGCCAGGGGAACCAGGTTACTTGTTACGACTTGAGTCAGAGGGGAGGAGCAGGTGAGCAAGTCCTTCCCTGAACTAATCCGGCTGCTGGCAGTTGCCGGCAGGCAGCTCCTAGGCCTCTGCACTTCCGGGCTGAGGGGAGCAGGGAAAAGGGGCTCCCCATGAAAGAGAACCAGAAGGCAGAAGAGTCAGGTTTCCATAGCCACAAGGAACCCTAATACAGTGTGCTGAGCTACGAAATACTTCGGTGCCCTTCTGTCCTGCATGGTTCTTCTGGCCTCCCTTCTACCCCACTTTCTCTTTCTAGAAATTGAGGAATGTTAAGCACCCCTCATTCCCCCCCCCAAAAAAAGGAGTAAAAAATTCAGTGTCCATAGGAAGCATCATCAGTAAATCTACAGACACTCTGGGTCACTGCTTACCCTGTACACAGGTGACAACCACAGCCTCAGTTTTCCAAGATTAGGATTTAAAAGCCTCAGGCTAAGTTGGGGGTTGTGGCAGGCACTTGTAGCAACTTGCAGTTCCAACTCCTTGTGATCTGAGGCAGGAGGTTAACATCAACCCATAAACTGAGGACCAGCCTGGGCAACAGAGCAAGGTACTATATTTAAAAAGAAGAAGGAAGAGGAGGAGGAGGAGAAGACAGCTGGGAGTGTACGTAAGGTATTGGTAGAATATAAGTCAGGGGTCCCTGGTTTAAAACCCAGCACCTAAAAAAGAAACAAAACAAAACAAATGGACAGCAAAAACAAGCGAGGATTGCTATGGCGGAGACTCTAAGGTGCTAGAGATGGAGGACCAAGCTGTTTTCTTTTTATCCCAGCAACATCAAGAGCATCACATCCCATCTGTAATGGACATCCACCCCCAGCAATGCTCTGTGGGGCACTGACTTGAACAGCCTAGTCATCACTTATTCCATAGGAGAGCTGCAGTGACCGCCAATCCTTAGCCAACTCTCCAAACGCAGGGAACCAGTCGCTAAACTGGAACTTTTTCCCTGCAAAAACTTGGCTTCCTCTGACCCGAAAGCAAATGAAAACTTGCTTAGAATTCAAGAGCTGATGGTTGCCTCTTCCCACAGGCTAGAGATACACTGCAGACTGGCCTGCATCTCTCAAGCCTTTGTCCCATCACCTCCTGCCTCTGGGACCCAGGTCCCAGTACTCAATACACACCTAAGTTGCTTCTTTCTCTCAACCCCTAAGGCGCCCCGTCCTCAGTCTCCATGCCCTGGCACCTAAACGCCAGAGAAGCAGGCTGCTAAGCATCTCCGTGAGCAGAGCTGTGTCCCAGTCTGCCACCACCCTTCACCACAGCCCATCCTTCCATACACAACCCCCCTCCCATACCTTCACATTCCTGTACACACCCTCTTCCCAAACAATGCTAGCCCAGGAGTCCTACAGACTGACCACCTCCCCCTCTCCCTAAGCAGAGGCTGAGGGGCCCTCACAGGGGACAGACCCTCCCCACTGTGGGGAGCATGCTCTCTGAACCTCCCAAAGAACTCACAACCCTTTCCATCCCCCCGCCCCCAACCCTCCACAATACTGCAGTCCCTTCCCATCCCCCAACAGGTTTACACACACTTCCAGTGTCTGCCAGGGGTTGACTCTGGGCTTGAGCTGTCTTGACCCATCCCCCCAGCTCCAACTGGGGACAGTGGTAGTTTCTAGAATCAACTCAGCTCTTTTTTTTTTTTTTTTTTACGTATAAAATAAAGAGACCAATTATGTAGCCCAATTATACCGAAGTACAGTTCTGAAACCACAAAAACGTCACAACATGTATACTTCATTATTAACATTAAACAGGACCCAGCAAATGGGTCATTTCAAGCAACCGATGAATGAAGCTATTTACATGTAGCTTCAGTGGGATAGGAAACCAACCTCACCAGAAAGCCACAGGTACTGATGTTGCCCCTACAGCCTGAGATGTAAGATTTGGACTCAGTTAAAAACTATGGCCTCAGATAACGCCATCTGAATTCAAGGACAAAAAATCAAAGTCGGGTTAAGGCCTGTACACACCAGGACATAAATTCCCTAAACTGTCTTCCAGGAAAAGCCTTCAGGCCTTCACTAATGATTCTTGCTGCTTGAAACCAGCATTACGAGAATGGACTTGCGCAGAAGAAGCCAGGACGGTGATGCACAAACTCAAACCCCCTCAAGCAGAACATAAGTCCCCCCACCTTC